CCTTACTTTTATACTTTTACCTGATACAATATGTGATCCAAATGGCTGTCAAGGAAACCAGAAACAATAGAATACAGATACCAGTAAACGCCATTGCATATTGACTTCCAGAAGACAGTTGATAAGGTCCCACGTAAATGGTTACTGCACATTATGAGTAGGTTTGGGTGGTGCTATAGTAGCATGGAGAGAAAATTGGCTTTCAGGAGGTGGAGATTCAGGATAAATGGGCTATTTTCAGGTCAGCGAAATGGAACTGTTGGAGAAACTAGTAATGGGGCTCAACTACTTGGCTGGAAAAGCTGATGGCATTGTCTCCAAATTCACTGATGATACATACTTAGGAAACTACACTGTGAGGAGGCTCCAAACAATCTGCAGAGTTTAATTTAGTGAGTGGGCAAATTTCTTAGATGGAATGAAATGTGAAAATTGTGAGGTTCTCAGATTTGACAGGGAAAATGGAAAAGTTGGATATTATTTTATTGGAGAAACTTAAGAATGTTGGACAACATTGTGTCTTTATCCAGAAATCACAAAATTTAAGTGCAAAGATACAGCAAGTAATTAAAAGGTAAATGGAATGCTGATGCTACTTGAAAGGAGAATAGAAGATAGAAATAAGTCTTTGTGCAAATGTACCAGGACATAGGTAAGATCCTGTACACTTTTGGTCAGTGGACACGTGTATAACATGTTTAAATATTGTGCAAATTTTCTTGATGTACAGGGGAGTTTTTGGTCACAGCGGAGATGCATTATAAGTCTGACCTTCATTCTGTAGGACAAATAGAAATTTCACTATGATTTCTGTAGGAGAATGGGAACTTCACTATTAATTAAAGCCTAGAATCCCTAGAGTGTGGAAACAGGCCCTTCAGCCCAACAAGTCCACACCAACCCTCAGACCCAAGCCGCTAATCTACACATCCCTGAACATTATGGACAATTTAGCATGGCCAATCCAACTAGCCTTTACATCTTTGGACTGTGGGAGGAAACTGGAGCAAACCCACGCAGAAAACATGCAAACTCCACACAGATAGTTGCCCAAGGGTGGAATTGAACCTGGGTCTCTGGTGCTGTGAGGCAGCAGTGCTAACCACTGAGCCACCATGCCACCCAAACTTGAACATAATTTCATAAACCAGAAACTATTTGTTTTGAAGTTGCATGTTTTAGTTAAATGTTATTTGCACAAACTTTGCATGGTCTTCCTGCTCTCAAAACCCCTTTTTTGCCCCTGCACTTGGCCCTGAAGTACTGTGGCCTCCTTTCAGTTTGTGTGTTTGGCCACACTCTCTCTACCACTCACTCGGCCCACCTTTACCCCCGCCCCCTCAACTCCACACTCCACCCCACCATGACCCGACCCAACATGTATGCTCTTGTTCTTGGTTTTAAAAGTCTCTGTTGTCCACTTTTCCTGGCTCCTATTTTGAGTTTACGTTGAAATCCTGGCTCCAACTAGTGGCAGTAATTGGTTAGTGAACATAGATCCAGACTTGAGTTGTAAATGCATGAATCAACTTCTGCCACTAGATGGGGCCTGGTCAATTAAAACTTGACCAGATGTGTAATTTCCACATTAAATTTAGAAATAAAAAAGTAAGCTTATTTTGTTTTAACTGTTACTTTATTTATGAATGTGGCCATTTGAAATGTATACCATTCAACTTAATGTTTTGGAGTTGATTTCTGCTAAGCAATGTCTTGAAGGACCAAACGTGTTTATTTTGTTTTGATTTGTTTTGTTTTGTGACCTTTTCAGCTAAGAATACACAGCTTTGCACATTTTAGTCAGTATGTTTTCTTTTCTTGAGCACAGCATGTCTGAAAGATCCTAACCTGAGTTTTAATATTAATTTCTATGGTAACCTGTGAATCACTTAAAGTTGATCAACTTATACTTGCTTCAGTTTAAAGTTGTGATTTTCAACAATGCAGCCACAACTTTGAGAAGATCAGATTGTAAGCTTTTACTCAATATCTATCGACAAAAGTTTTGTTTTATAACTTTAGTCTTCAACATTGAGCTGAAATCTGATGAGTAAATAACTTTATTACTATAAACCTTCCATACATAGGTTGATCCCAGTTTCAGATGGTTCCTGAAAGGTTGATCTGGCTGTTCTGTTGGGATGCAATTACAGGTGATGTTCCTTGGATGCGTTAAACATTTACCTTGAAGTGTTGTTCTAAAATCTATGACACTGGATTGTTTGACAATTTTTCAGTGTCCCAGACTCCATCAGCTGAAACTCTCTGTATCTCAAGTGCAAACTGCAGTCCAAACTGCATGCAGATAAAAACAAAATCAAAACTTGGGATCAAAAGTACCGTTTCATGACAAGGCAGTGATGAACATTACTTGAAATTGTGAGAAGTAAATGATTTTGTTTAAAATTACTTTACTGTGAAGAATGCATTAAAAACCATGCCTTGCCTCTCTACAAGCTATCAGAAGATGTATACAATCCCAATTAGACCTCCAAGTTGACGTGTTTGCTAGACTTACAGTAATGACTAACAGTAATGACTGAATATGTAGAACTCATTGCCACAGAAGGCTAAGTGTATTTAAGACAGATTGTTAAATTAGGAAGGAGATCAAAGGTTACAGGAGAAAGCAGGAGAATTGGGTTCAGAAACATATCACCATCGAATGGTGGGATAGACATGATGGGCTAATTGGGCTAATTCTGCTTCAATTATCTTAGGGTCTTATGACTGCCTAATACAGGGCAAAGGCAATTCACACTGGTTTTTGTCATTATCAGAAGTAACTGTATTTATTGTAACACGATTATTCTTTACCAAATCGCAATGGAGAGAAAAGATTCCTAATTTACTCTATGATTTAACTTTTATATGTTTCTAGAAACTCCAAATATATGCATGCATGCACATGCAGTCAATATTAACACAGACAAAAGGCAAATGGTTTGATACGGGTATTCAGTGTGAAAGAAAATATAGACATGAAACAAAAATTTAAAGATTAAGAGTCTAGATCACAATTGTGTCTCGATTCATTTTGAGTTCACCAATGCTGACACTGTTCTCTGAAAATTGATGGTCACTCTTCACTTTGATAGTTGATTTGATCAACTTAGATCTTCATTTTCTGGAATTATTTCCTTCATTTTCCGTGTGTTCTTGTTTTACATTACATATTCTTACTGGGAGAAGAGGAAAGAGGGATATTGTCAGTGTGCTGGTCTGGAGGTTACTTGACTGTTCTGTACTTACAGATTTGTGGCAAACTGCAGCTGGAGAAATCCAAGAGGTGTAATTGGGCAGCTTCCTCTAAACTTAAACTCCTGCTGCTCTGACTCAACCATGTATAAGTCTCTCTACTCCAGCATCAGTATGTTGCACAGCTAAAAATGTGTGCCACTTTGATTATCCGAGTTGAAAAACTGTTCTGGTATTTCTGTTATATTGCAGTCCAATTTCCCATTTATAATCCAAGCAAGAAAAATATGGTTCAGGAGAAATCTTTGTCTTTTGGACAAGTGAGTGTGGTTTTTACCTTGTCACCTATAAGCTCGAGGTGCATAAGTGCAGGTTGTCAGTTTTATAACATAGTCCAGTTATAATGCAGTTTTACTTTTTAAAACCCTGACATCCACATTATGACAGACTTGCACAGTAATTACATTGGGAGCAGTTCAAAGAAGGTACCCTCGGCTGTTTCTTGGGATGAAGGTTCAGCAAGTTGCCTACAGTCACTGGAGTTTGGAAGAATGAGAGACGATTTAGCTCAAATATCGGATCCTCAAGTGTGTTAATGAGGTAGATACTGAAAAGGACTTTCCCCTGGACTGACGAAGGGTCTCAGCCTGAAACGTTGACTTTGCTGCTCTTTGGATGCTGTTTGACTTTCTGTGCTTTTCCAGCTTCATGTCCATCGACTCTGGCTTCCAGTATCTGCAGTCCTTACTGTCTGCAGTTCTTTGTTTTTACGTTCTTCTTCTGAGAAGCATTTGTGTTTGGAATTCTCTTCCCCAGAGAGCACTGAATGGTGTTGGGTAATCGTCTAACTGAGCCTCAAAGGAATCTAATTTAAACAATAAGCAGGAAAGTGCTATAATTGGATCTGCCATGACTATACATATGCTGGAGTAAGCTGGATAGTTTCCTATCTCTTCTGTTCTTATGACCTTTAGGAACTTGAATGTAACAATAACTTTTTAATTGAAGGACACAACATAGATTTTAAACAGCTGAGATTCTCATACCACTCACTAGTAACAGCCTGACAACCTGAATTCCTAGTCATTGTTTACCATTCTTTAACCAATACTTTAAGCATAATATTTGCTACTACTTTACTTTGACCCCATGAGATATTTTCTTGTGCAGCAAGTTTTAATATTGAAAACTTTGAAAATATCCCAGTAATGTGATAACTAAGATTTTTATACGTATTTCATTAGCCATTAAAAAGTGGTTCTTGGTACTATTCTCAAAGATCATTGATGTGCTGCATCTTATTGAAACTGTTAAGAATTCAGAATTAATATCATCCTGTGCCTGCTGCCTTCCTGTCATTAAATTGGTTCTTAAAAGGATTCACATGCGTACAGCACATAGGGGAGGTGATGGTCTAGTGATGTTATTGCTGTATTGTTAATCCAGAGACCCAGATAGCATTCTGGGGACCTGGGTTCGAATCCTGCCATGGCAGATGGTGGGATTTGAATTCAATAAATATCTGGAGTTAAGAATCTAATGATGACTATGAATCCATTGCCAATTGTTGGGAAAACCCATCTGGTTCACTAAGTCCTTTAGGGAAGGAAACTGCCATCCTTACCTGGTCTGGCCTACATGTGACTCCAGACCCACAGCAATGTGGTTGACTCTTAACTGCCCTCTGGGCAATTAGGGATGGGCAATAAATGCTGCCTAGACAGTGATGCTCTCATCCTTTGAATGAATAAAGAAAAAAAATTAACTGGTTTTTCAACCTTCAATCAAAGGTGACACAATTTTGCTGTGAGCAGGGTTTGAACCTGCACAGGGAAACCCCCATTAGATTTTGAATGTAACACCTTAACCACTCGGCCATCAGCAGCAGCAAAATTGTACTCGAGCACAATCTGCAGCCACATGGACCAGCTTATCACCCATTGAACCATGATCAACAAGCCAGGGGATTTCAATCCTGAATCAACCGAGTGCAAGAGAGCATACCAGGAGCAACACCACGCAGAAAATGAGGTGTCAACCTGGTGAGGCTACCAAACAGCATAGGCAGCAAGTGAGAGACAGAGCTAAGTGATCCCACAACCAATGGATCAGATCTGAGCTCTGCAATCCTGCCACATCTAGTCGTGAAAGTTGGTGGACAATTAAATAACTCACTTGAGGAAGTGGCTCCATATGTATCCCCATCTCCCATGATAAAAGAGCCTAACACAAAAGATAAGGCTGATATATTTGCAGCAATCTTCAGCCAGAAGTGCGGAAAAGATTATTCATCTTGGCCTCCTTCAGTGGTCCCCAACATTTATAGATATCAGTTTTCAGTCAATTCAATTCACTCCATGTGATATCAAGAAACTGTTGGGGGTACAAGATACTGGAAAGGTTATGGGCACTAACAACATTTCCGTAATGATACTGAAGACTTGAACTCCAAAATTCCTCTAGCCAAGATCATCTAGTACAGTTACAAAACTTGGCAAAGTAGACAATTGCTCAGCTATGTCCTGTAGACACAAAACAGGGCAAATTCAACCTTGCAATTACTGCCCCATCAGTAAAATGATGGAAAGTGTCATCAACAGTACTATCAAACAGCAGCTTGTCAGCAACAACCTGCTCAGTGATGACACAGTGTGGAGCTGGAGGAACACAGCAGGCCAGGCAGCATGAGAGGAGCAGGAAAGCTGACATTTCGGGTCAGGACCCTTCTTCAGACAAACGTCAGCTTTCCTGCTCCTTTGATGCTGCCTGGCCTGCTGTGTGCCTCCAGCTTCACACTGTGTTATCTCAGACTCCAGCAGTTCTTACCACCTCTGCTCAGTGATGCCTAGTTTGTGTTCCACCAGGGCCATTGAGCCCCCCACCTCGTTACAGCGTTAATTCAAATATGGACAAGAGAGTTACAGTTGTCTACAACTTTGAGTTAAAACAAGTTCTCCTCAACTTTCCTCTTTTATCCTTCTACCTTTTAAATTGAATCTGTTCTCTCTGGTTAATGGTTACTTTACTAATGGAAAAAGTGCCTTCCTACCCAGCATATCTGTAGCTGTCATAGTCCTATACACCTCTAGCCTTAACTACTTCAAAGAAAATAATCCATCCTATCCAATATTTCTTTAGCACAGATCCTCTGGTCCAGAAAGTATATTTGTAAATTTTCTTTGCAACCTCTCTAGTGTAATCACATCTTTCCTATATAGGGTGACTAGAAATACACATAGTACTCCATTTGTGGCCTAACCAGCCTGTTGTGCAGAAGCATAGAAAAATTGAAAGCACAAGATAACATCCAATGGTGTCCCTGCTGCTCAAAAGATCTTTTCACTCACTAGCTCATGATCCCACAGGCTGCAGGACCTCCAACAGCAACTTTTTGTTTTGATGTAATGAGATTTTATGCCTTGAACATTCTGTCAGGCAGTGAGTTCCAAACCCCACCACAGACTCTCAGAAGGATTAGGAGGTGAAAGGGTGTCTTTTTCATCCACTTACTTGAAATCTGTGTCCCCGGGATACTGATCTCTCTGACTTAGAAATATAAATGATGGTGTTCTTACACAGTTGCTGTCTTTGTTCTTCTAAGTGTTGATCTGTTGTTTAGAGTGTGCTGCCAAAGGATCCCTGGTGATTTGCTGCAGCACATCCTGCAGATGGTACACACTACGTTGACTGCTGGTGATTGAGAGCTGTATTTAGGTTGATGAATGGGGTTCTGATCAACTGGACTGCTTTGCCCTGGAGAATGTCAAGTGTGAGTGTTAAAGTTACTTAGCACTTAAGTGTATGCAATTGTGAAGCATTTGCTCTTGTGTAAAACAACTTAAATAAAACACATTTCTCATTATAGTCACTGGTAATTTTACTTAATGAGTGGTTGCTGCAATTTCAGCTTACAATGAAAGTCAAAAAAGACTTTGAGACCTTGAGTTATGATAACATTTACGTAATGACATTTTGCTTGCTTTGTCCAGTCTTCAATAACCAGCATCAGAGTCAATCATGTGGTAAAGTAGTGGGAGAAACCTGCAGAAAGATCCGATCACGAAGAAGGTAGTTCCCTGTGATATGAGTCTACAGACCAAAAACAAGCTATTTCCTGATGTCCAAGTAGCTGTGTTGCTGAAGGCTGGGCCTCTCCAGAGATGCCCTCAACTTCCAAGTTTCAATTTCTTTGCAGAGGGTCGCTGGAGATGTGTGTGCGAATTCCCAATCAGTGGCATATCCTTGAGTTAAAGTGGTGATTAATACTTCTTAAAAGAGTAATATTCAACAATCAAAACTTTGGTACTCCCCATTGACCTGATTTGATGTCATACATCCTTGCAATATTGTGTTCTACAGTAGGTGCACCTTACATCTCTCGAAAATATGTGACAATGTGGTATTCTGCAATTAGGATTATGTTACTCCTGTCATTGAATACAGTGTTTTGGTTTTTGCTAACTTAATGTTTGGAAAAGTTAGGTTCTTTGTTTCTCTGCAGCATATATTTTACTGACATCTGTAAATTGCCAAGTCAAAATGAATTAACCTGGAATTTGTCCACGTTTTTTATTTTTGATGTGAAAAGATATTAAAGTATACAACTGTAAAACTTGTATCATTTCCTGGTCTGATTTAGTACTCCTAGTCAATTGATCTTATAAAGACCTAATTTAAAATATGCAGTTGTGAATTTATTGATGCTACCTCTTTTCTGCTGAAAATAAACACGTGGAAGCTAATTCTAACTTGCTGTACCTAGTAAGCGTTCAGGTGCTCATGGTTTGAGAATGCATTTGGGTGACTTACCAAAATAGTACCCATTGGAAAAGATAATTAGATGTGCTTCTCCTACTGGTCACTTATTCTGTGCCTGAAAATCATTGCCCTATTGAGTGGTAAATCACATGGTTAAAGTTGAGTCCTTGAATCTATGTCCACATGTGTTCATCCTACTGGGGTGGGATTTAGCTTTTCCCCATTTTGTTAATTTTACTTCAGATAAATCAAATGTGCCAACCGAGTGTTGTTTTTTAGAAAACATGTTTAAAAAATTGCAGATATAACACAGTATGGAGCTGGAGAAGCACAGCAGGCCAGGCAGCATCAGAGGAGCAGGAAAGTTGATGTTTTGGGTTGGGCGAAGCCTCTTTAAAAAATTGCAGTTTTTTTTTCCCCAAGTTCATACAGTTTAATGGCAACAGTAATGCAGTATTGAGTCTTGTTTCTGATGTAAACTACAGAATGAGTTGATGTGAGTTCGACAACAGCAGGGAAACTACTGGAGAAGATTCTAAAGGAGAGAATTGATCATCATTTAAAGAGGCAGAGTTTCATCAGGGATACTCAGCATGGCTTAGCCAGCGAGAGGTTGTACCTATCAAATCTGATGGAATTTTTCAAGGAGTTGACCAGGGGTTTGGATGAGGGTTGGACAGTTGATGTACTTTATTTGGATTCCAGCAAGGCCTTTGACAAGGTCCCACATGGGACACTGATAAAGACGGTAAAAGCTCATGAGATCCAGGGTAACTTGGCAAGTTGGATCCAAAATTGACTTAGTGACAGGAGACAGAAAGGGTGGTGATAGAGGCTGTTTGTGTGACTAGACCCCAGTGTCCAATGGTGTACCACAGTGATTATAGTTTGGTCTCCTATTGTTAGTGATGCATTTAAATGATGTAGATGAGAATGTTGGAGTTGGATGATAAGTATGTTTGTAGATGATGCAAAGATTGACCAGGTGGTTGATGTTAAGGAAGAGCGGTTAAGTTACAGGGGAATACAGGCAGATTGATCTGCCCATTTGACCAATGGAATTTAACCCTGATACTTGTGAGATGATGCACTTTGGAAGAAGGGACAAGAGAAGACAGTACTGAATGAATAGTAGGACACTGTGGAAACCAGAAACAGATCGATTTTGGGAAGTCTATCCACAAATCCCTCAACATAGCACAGCACTTTAATAAGGTAGTTAAAGCATATGAGACAATTGCTTATATAGGTAGAAGCATTGATTAAGAGCAGGGAGGTTATCTTAGAGCTACACAGAATTTTGGTTAGGCTCCAGCTGAACAACTAAGTGCAATCACGAGAAGTGCACAATCAGAAAGATGTGATTGCACTGCAGGAGGGTGCAGAGGAGATTCACCAAGATGTTAAAACAAAATAAAGGGCTGCAGCTATTAATTTGAAACACAAACAGAAATTTCTGGAGAATCTCTGCAGGTCTAGCAGCTTTAATAGAGAGAAAGCAGAGTTAAAATTTCAAGTCCCATGACCCTTCTACTGTACTAGAGTTGCACTTCTGAAGAAGGGTCACTGGACTCAAATGGTTAGTTTTTTGTAAGGCTGGATAGAAAGCAGCTATTCCTCTTAGTTGAAGAGTCCCTAACAAGGGGACACAATTTTGAGGTGAAGGCCAGGATGTTCAGATGGGACTTGAGGAAAAGTTGTTACACCCAGTGTCATAGAGTCTTAGAATTATATGGAATGGAAACAGATTCTTTGGTTCAACTTGTTCAAGCTAAGTTTCCCAAACTAAACTGTCTCCGCTTGCCTACATTTGGTCTGTTTCCCTCTAAAAATTTCCTATTTATGTACCTGTCCAAATGTCTCTTAAATCTTGTAACTGTACCTGCATCTGGCAATTTATTCCACATAGGAACTACCCTCTGTGTGGAAAAAAGTGCCCCTCAGGTCACTTTCAAATCTTTCTCCTCTCACCTAAGGCCGCCTTGTTTTGAACTCCCCCACCCTCGAGAAAACATGTTTACTATTCACCTTATCTATGCTTCTCATGATTTTATAAACCTCTATAAGTTAACTCCTTAACCTCCTAGTCATCAATGAACAAGTTCCAGCCTGTCCAACCTATCCTTAT